CTTCATATTTCACCCTGAAAGAAAGCCTGAAGGAAGAAATCTGCCATTGCACATTGCATCGACACTATGATGAAAAGTAGTGCTATGTCCTTTACAAACCTCAAAATGCACTTGCAATATGGAGACACATGGGGACATTCCAACCAACCTACAATAGAGAATACTTTTCTTTCTTTTTTATATATTTTGACTTATTTTGTTAAATGTTTGTTAAATATTTCCCAATTACATGTAAAATTTTTTTTCACATTCATTTTTTTAAAATTTTGAGTTCCAAATTCTCTCCTTCCTTCCCACTCCTCCCCCACTCATTGAGAAGGCAAGCAATGTGATATCAATTATACATATGAACTTGTGTAAAATATATTTCCATATTAGCCATGTTGCAAAAGAAAACACAAACAAACAAGAAAAAATAAAGTTTTAAAAAGTATGCTCTGGGGGCAATGGATGGCGCAATGGATTCTATCCTGGTCCTGGATCCTGGTCCTGGTGCTGGAATCAGGAGAAGCTGAGTTCAAATCCGGCCTCAGACACATGATACTCACTACCTGTGTGACCCTGGGCAAGTCACTTAACCCCAATTGCCTCGTCAAAAGAAAAAAAAAAAGTATGCTTTGCTCTGCACTCAGAGTTCCTCAATTATGTCTTTCTGGATGTGAATTCATCATGGGTCCTTTGTGATTGACTTGATTATTGTATTGCTAAGAATAGCTAAGTCATTCACAGTTGATCATCATACAATATTGCTGTTACAGTGTACAAATGTTCTACTGGTTCTGCTCACTTCACTTTGTATCAGTTCATATAGGTCTTGCCATGTATTTCTGAAACCACACCCCACCTTGTCATTTCCCACAGCACAATAGTATACCATCACAATCATATACCACAACCTGTTCAGCCATTTCCCAATTGATGGGCATCTCCTCAATTTCCAATTCTTCACCACCACAAAAAGAGCTGCTATAAATATTTTTGTACATGTAAGTCCTCTTTCATTAAAAAAAAACTATTTGGGAAACAGACCTAGTAGTGGTATTGCTGGGTCAAAGGGTATACACAGTTTTATAGCCCTTTGGGCATAGTTCCAACTTGCTTGCCAAAATGTTTGGATCAGTTCACAACTCTACCAACAATGCATTAATGTTCCAACTTTCCCATACCTTCTCTAGCATTTATCATTTTGCTGTTTTGTCATGTTAGCTAATCTGATAGGTGTGATGTGGTACCTCAAAGTTGTTTTGATTTGTATTTCTCTAATAGTGATTTAGAGCATGTTTTCATATGACTATAGATAGCTTTAATTTCTTCATCTGAAAACTGCGTGTTCATATCTTTTAACCATTTATCAACTGGGGAATGACAACAAAACATTTTTAAAGAACAATTTGTTTGTTGTAGACCGTTTTTTTCATCAACACTGGTGATTGCCTCCTACCTTTGATTAGAATGGCCATACTAGGACTCTACCATTGCTTGCCTTAAGTAACTCCTTCTTATCCAGTGACACCAGATTTTATGACAAACACTAGAGAGATTAGTAGCCAGTATGCTTGACCTAGGAAAATTGAGGCAGGCCTGGCATTGCCACTAACTTGCTGGGTGGTTTTTGCCAAATCAACACTTTGTTCTTAAATTTCCATCTCCATAAAATTAATGATAGCAAGGCATCATTCAAATGTTAGGAGTTATTGAGTGCCTACTATGTACAAAATACTTAGGGAAATTGGACAGAGTAACATAAGAACAGATTCTTTGGGATAGATGAATACTTTTCTCATTTGTATCAAGGTGCCAACGCACGGTGAAAAGAGCTTCAGATGCCCAATTCCAGCTCTGCCCCTACTTGTCTATCTAACCTTGGGCAAAGCATTTCCTCTTTGGGGGTCTCTGTCTCCTCATTTGTAATATAAGCGGGGGGGGGGAAGGTCCACCAGATGTTCTCCTGAGACCCCTTTCAGTGCTGACATTCTAAGATTCTCGGACTTCTCTATGAAATTAGACCTACCTTGTCTGCTGCTGGTACACAAAGGGCCAATGATAACAAATGCAAGTTTTTGTCTCACAAAAGAACTATATGGATACAACCAAATCAGAATGTTCATTCATTTGAGTAGTTGCTAGGTTATCTGCCAGAAAAAGGAATGGTGAGCAATCAGAAAGGGCTCGGTGTTTGCCCAGCAGCTCATGGACACCATGCTTTTCCCTTTCATTTAAATGATTGCCAGGAAGACTGATATATACTATCTCATACTAGCCATAGTAACTTTGATCTGTACTCATTCCTTTCATGTTTAGCAGAAAGGAGAGAAAACACATCTCTTTCCTCTTAATCTTTTATACTCCTCAAACTTGTTGATTTTTCCTTCAGAATTCTTTATTTTAGGTTAAACATGATGCTACCTTATGAATTCAGTGTTCCACTTCTTAAAATAACTGCATAATTTCAAACCTTCTCTGTATCTCTCAAGGTTTTGTTTTTAAACTGCATCTATGAAAGATAGCCGAGCACTAGACTTGAATACAGGAAGATCTGATTTCAAATCCTGTGACAGACATTTACTATCTTTGTCACCTTTCACAAGTCACTTCTTCTCTGGGTTCCTTAGTTTCCTGATTTGTAAAATGAGGAGGTCAGACTCAAGGGTTTCTGTGGTCCCTTTTAACTAGAAATTGATGATCCTACAGCCTGTCATTTCAGTGATGTCAGGAGCTCACAGGAAGGAACTCCCTGTACCACAGAAGCTCAGCCCCTTCTCGGAAACTTAGATTCTTGGAGAGTCACCTGGGGTAGGTAGAGGGAGGTTGAACAACTTGTTTGGAGTGACACCACCAATACGTGTCTGAGGTGAGATTTGAACCTATGTCTTCCCGACTCCCAGGACATCTGTTAAGCCACTCTCCCAAATTGCTCATCATTTCTCCATTTAAGAGAATTAGATCTGGGTTGTCTGGCTATTCTGCAAATGCTCTTCCTCTTTTCACCCAATGATACCCACAAGCCCCTGGTAGTAATATCTACTTAAAAATAAATGGAAAGTCTCACGCAGATGCCCTGAACCATACTTTAAGAGAAACATAAGGGTGAGGAGACTAAGGAATGGTCAGATAGATAGGAAGAGAAACATGGGAGAGAAGTGTCACAAACACCTAGAGAAATGACAGTATCAAGGAAAAGAGGGTGATCAACAGTGTCAAAGGCTAGTGTAAAAGAGGCCTGTTCTTTGTGGCTCCAGGGTACATTTCATGCATTCTACCTTCATGCACTCTACATTTATATTCTTAAAGTTCTAGCCAAACTGGCCTATTTTGTTCCCCCAATCTAGCATTCCACCTCCTTGCCTTTGCACAGGCTGTCTCTCCTAACTGGAATACACCCCCTCCTCACCTCCATCCACTTCTTGCAATCCTTAGCTTTCCTCAAGGTTCAGTTCAGGTACAATCTTTTCATATCACGCATGTTATTAATGCTCCTTCCTCAAAGTAGCTTGCATTTTCTCCTAACTTGTGTCTGCTAAGTAGGATGCAATCTTCTTTAGGGCAAGAACTATTTTTCATTTTGTCTCTGCATTCCCAGTGCCCAGCATGGTCCACTGGAGAGAGTACTGGATTTTTGGAGTCAAAGGACCTAGGTTGGAATCTTGTTTTCTGCCACTTAATACCTATGACCTTTGGCAAGTCACTTAATTTCTGTGGTCCTAAATTCTTTATCTGTAAAATGAGGGAATTGGACTGGATGATCTCTAGATCCCTTGGAGTTCTAAATCTGTGCTTCTGTAGTTCTTTAATGGAATCAAATTGAATTGGCTCATTGATCCAGAACCAATAGGTAGTAATTGAAGGTAGGCAGAATTTGACTTAAAGGGGTTTTTATTTTTGTTTTTTTGTTTTTGTTTTTTTGAGAAAGACAGACAGAAAGACAGAGAAAGCTGGCCAATAATGGGACAGCCTGTGTGGTTGGGTAATAGGGATGCTCAAGCACAGACTGTATGGCCACCTTTTTTTTAAAGGCTGTTGGAGACTTTGATCCAACAATACCGTTGCTAGGTCTGTATCCCAAAGAGATAAAAAAGGGGGAGGAAGGGAAGAACCTATTTGTACAAAAATATTTATAGCAGCTCTTTTGTGGTGGCTGAGAATTGGAAATTGAGGAGATGCCCATCAATTGGGGAATGACTGAAACAAGTTGTGTTATATGATTGTAATGGAATACTATTATGCTGTAAGAAATGACAAGCAGGATGATTTCAGAAAAACCTGGAAAGGCTTACATGAACAGATACAAAGTGAAGTGAGCAGAACCAGGAGGACATTGTACACAGTAACAGTAATATTGTTACAATGAAGCAATGTGAATGACTTGGCTATTCTCAGCAATACAGTGATCCAAGACAATCCCAAAGGACTCTTGATGAAAACTGCTATCCACCTCTAGAGAAAGAACCAATGTTGTCTGAATACAGACTGAAGGATACTGTTTGTCTGTCTCTCTCTGTCTCTCTCTCTTTCTTTCTGTCTTCTTGCACAAAATGACTACCATGGAAATGTTTTACATGATTGCACATGTATAACCCATATCAGATTGCTTACTGTCTCAGGAAGGGGAAGGAGGGATAGAATTTGGAACTCAAAACTTTAAAAAAAATGTTAAAATTGTTTTAATGTGTAATTGGGGGAAAATAAAATATTATTTTTAAAAAGGTGGTTGGAGAAGGAATTCCTACATTGGATGGGAGTTTAGACAGAATGACCACTAAGTTTCCTTTCAGTGATAAGATTCTGCGATTCTCAATGTCTTGCTCACTTAGAAATGAACAAACAAAAATCCCACCAGCAGTGACCTTATAAACTCACATTCTGCTGGTGATCTTTTTTAGGATGCCCAACCTACTCTTGCCATATATTTTTTCAAGAAAACAATTGCCATGCTACTCTTCTCCTTTTTCCTCGCTCCCTCAAATATGCATTCAAATCAATTGCTGTTGTCTTTGTTCCAGATCGTAGCCAAGAAATACCGCAACTATGAGATCCCCGCGGAGATGACGGGTCTATGGCGGTACCTCAAGAATGCCTATGCACGAGATGAATTCACCAACACCTGTGCAGCTGACAGTGAAATTGAGATGGCTTATGCTGATGTAGCCAAGCGACTCAGCAAATCTTGAACTCTCCCTCATCCTGTCTTGTCTCTGCGGCAAAAGAACTTATTCTCCACCAAAGACCCCTGCTTCACAGACTATTCTTCCCTATTGCCTTGGGAAATTTTATTATTATTTTTTGCATTACCAAGTCTTGCTGATGTCACCATAACATCAGCATCTGTCTTTCAGCATCTGGCCTTGCCCATTGGGGAAATTGAAGGGCAGAGGTGCATCAGTTAGTCTCTTCAAGCACTGGTCTGATCTTGGTTTAGTCCAAGTGCATGAAGCCCTCTCACACTTGGAATTGTTTAGCTGGCTATTCCGCCAACATCTCAAACCATGTTCTTGAGTGGATTAGGAACATGTAACCAACACTGACACTTCTTCTCCCTTTTTTGTTGACCCCAGTGACTGAGGATGTGAGCCACTTTTAAGTAGATCTTGTCAGAGGCAGTAATTTTGCCTTGGCATGAGAGCTAGAAGGTATGTGACAAGGATGAGGGTGGGTGGATTGTTGGATTCTGGCAGATACATTTTCAGCCAGAGTCTTTTGGCAACCCCCTTGCCAGTGAGTCCTAGATAAAGAGAAAACTGAATACTACTTAGTCACTGGTACAGCTGGCTCAGCTGCTACCTTTGGTGCTGGTAATGTTGTTATAATGCTGCCCAACAGTAATTAATCTAAACTTTCACTTATCTCAAACTATGGTGGGAAAGAGGGTGAACACACAATTTTCAAATGATGTACTTGCAGGCCAAGGGAAAAGTAGGTAACCCAGAGGGAGAAGAGGGCAAAGGGGTGGAGCAATGTTGATGCCAAAAGGCCCGCTGGGTCTGCCTGCCAGTGGGGAATGCTTGAGCACTGATATTTGCTTGCCACTGGGTTGGGTATATTTATCAATGTATATGTTTTATCCATGAGGAGGGGAGAAAAATCAGTTCTCTGTGGGGCTAAAGTGCTGAAATCGGCCAGGCAGGTGTTCTCTCTTTTTCTCCAGGTCTTGGGATGATGTATATCTCATTACCACCAACCTTCCACCCAAAGAACTAAGAAATGGCCAAAAGATTTCCCTTCAGTTCCTCCTAGTTTTCCTTGCCTACTGACTTTCTCAGATGAGTCCATCCAGTTGCTTCTGCATGATTCATTTATATGAGTAACTGCGTGAGAATTACCATTGGTCTATGGCTTGAATACTGAGCATCTTAAGGAGAAATTCCTTGAGATTTTCTTGTTGAGGGAGCTGTGTGTTTTGAACTCGAGTTCAACATGGTTTATATCCTATTTGGAGGAATATGCCAACACATCCAAGTCATATTTCCTACCTTAAATGTTCTTTACCAGTTATAAACAGGTGGCTGACAACAGAGCTCTAAATAAGGCAGGGTGACCAAAGCTTAGTCTGTGGGCACCAAACTTTAGAGGGTGCCAAAAGTACCATCTCATAGTACTCTTCCTTTTCCTCTTATATGAGCTGCTCCTTCATCTGTCTCAACCTTAGTGATGGTGGCCTTGCTTTGGGATGTTCTTCTTTCCCTCACTGGCCACTCCTGAGGCCAGCTATTCCACCTTTCTTTGATTTCTGATCTTGCTCCCTGCCCCTCCCTCCATTTTTCCCTGCAAAAAAATTCCTTGTTATGGCTCTGACCACCATTTTGCCTGCTGGTTTTGCCTCTATCACTTTTCCTTTGTAACAGAAGGATTCTGTGAAAAGGGAGCTTAAAAAAATGAACTGACCACCAGCTGTGTCTCCCAATGAATTCATTGTGAGGAACACTATGTTAGGGCAGGGACCAGACTCAATAATACTTCCCTGTTTATCTCCTACTGGAAGAGCGAGCAGGTTTAAGAGCACCTCAAAATCACTAAATTTGATTTAACATTTCCCACAATGGTCAAGAAAGAGAGGTATTGGTCTCTTCATGAGAACAGCACCAAATCCTGGCAACAGAGAGGAGAATCTCCTTTTCCCCTGGGATTTTGGAGGGGGAAGTGACACCTTGACCAGAAGACAGAGAGGGGAAAGGACATACCTTAATTCTCAATATTTTGCCTCTTGCCTGTAGGAGGAAATGACTCAGTGAAACTTTTATAAGCCCTGGCGGGTGGAGGGAAAGCGGGGTTGAAAATATAGAATGAGCCGATTCAGTTCTCCATCTCAAAGAACCTTTCCACAGGCTCCATGGAAACCCTGCTACTTGAGATGTTTAAACATGAGACCTGATGAGGAAATCAACCATTTTTACTGTAGGAAAGCATCCTGAATTGGGCCCTGGAGGCTGATGACCTGAATGGTCCCAGAGGTCTTTTAATTAGTGTGAAATCCTGTCTTGCTCAGAAATGCTTCCTTGGCCCTATAGAACAAACTAGATGACCTGGAAAAGACTTTACGTTTCTCATTTCTATGAGTCTCCACACCCTCACCCTTCTTTCCCTTAAAACATATTTGGTAGTATACACAGGGACCTACTGTCAGCTCCAAGGCAGGGCAGCTTTAGTGAGAGTTTTAAATGGAATGCAATTAACTCTAATGGATACCCCCAAAGCCAATAGTGAGAGAGTCTCTTAAAATGGCATCCTTGGAGCCAGCTATGATCTTGATGCCTGAGGTAACCCCATGTATAATAACCATGTACAATGTTGACATAAAGAATGGCACTTTTGAAAGATACCCAGTTTAGATATACGTTTTTTGGTCTCCAGAATAGATAATTATAGTTAACATATTTGATTAATGTTCATGTTTTTAATAATATCTTAAGACTGGATTGATTGGAGCAATTGAAAATCAGCAAGGTATAGTGGAAGCCCTGAGCTGAGAGTCAGAAGATCTGGATTTTCATGTTGGTTTGACTTCTGAGTCATTAGGTAGCCTTGAAAAACTTATTTTCCCTCTTTAGGCTTCACGTTCCTCCCCTGTTAAATGAGATCAGGTGACCTTCACTTTCTTCAACACATTGACCTTCTGTTGTTCTAATCACACTTGTAATAACATTACTGCCTGCTCATATTTTTGAAAATCCTTGCATTCTCCTCTAGAAATTTGCTGGTAGATGTGGTGATTATCATACATACTATCTGCTCACTATACAATCCTAGTGAGAGATTGGACCAGCTCTAGATCTATGTTCCTATGAACTAAGTTTCTGGAATGAATTAGAGTTATTAAGGAGAGGAAGGCAAAAAGGAATTAGGCAGCTCAAGGAAAAAATGTTAACAACTTAAGTGACCCATGATAAGAGAAATGGGAGCATCCTTAGTCAAGTCTGCATTGACCCATACCAATTTCCTGATGAATGCCTCTGTGAGACAACTTTTCTATTTTCTGTAGGTAATGCCCCCTCTTAATGAGAGTAAATCCAAGATAATACTTTTTGGACAGGTACAACATTAATCCCATGATTATAATAGAGCTAAGAAACTGTTTCCCAAAGGTTCATTTCTTCACTTATGTTGTTTGACATTGCTTCTTTTCATTATTATTTTAAAGTCCCTCTGTTCTCTCTGAAGTGATCTTTTCTGATGGTGAGAGAATTTGTTTCTAACTCACGTGACCTTTTAAACCATTCTATGTGCAAGGAAGAAAAAGGCAGAACAACCTTAGACCTATTTGGCTTCTGAGTTCAAGTCCCATAACTATGGTACCCTCTTAATAAATGAAAGAAATAAAAAATTTAATATTTCCCTTAGCCCTTCCAGGATTGTTCCAATTCAAGTTCATATTCCTATCAGAGGACTATTACATATAAAGTTGATACTAGATGTGTTTAAAGAAGGCTGAAGCCTTCTTCCATGGCAGAAACTTCATCTTCCTAAATGAATATGGGGTTGATTTTTTTTTTAACAGCCCTGTTGGTGAAACCTAGTCTTAAGGAGACAAGAGTCTAAGATCTGGTTTTAAGCAAGTTCTCTTGATATAGGCTATGCCAGCATTTAAGAAAGGAGCTGTCCAATAGAGATGTTTGCATATCCCTCCTTTCCCTCTGTCCTGAGCCTCTGACAGACCCACCTAAATCTATGGATTGAGTTAGTATTTCTCTTTTTCACAAGAAGGAGCATTTTGTTTGCAGACACACTCCAAGAGAAAGTCACCTGATTCTCACTAAAACTTTAACTATGGTGATAAAATAACAGGACTTGCTGTGAAACCACAATAAATGTAAAGTGCTTTTTAAATGAAGAAAAAAAAAGTTTTTTTTTTCCTCCTCATCGATCTGAACCATTTATAAAATTATTTCCCAGTTTTGATTGGTACTTGATGCAAATAAAATTTGGTTTATTTTCAAATATTACAGAAAAGATCATCAAACTTCTTTTGAATGCAAATGTCTATAGTACTTAATACTGACAAGGAAAACCCTAAATGAGAGAGAAAGAAAATTATGGTGAAGTCTATTTTTCTATTTAGAGCTGGCATAATTTTCTGGGATTCTGGAAGTTTCCACCAGCCCCATAGCCCAGTTCACTGGCCTGCCATGGTGCTCTATGCACCCTCTCTTCCCTGTCTTTCTCTTCTTCCCCAAATCTCCGCACAATACAACTCTTTCCAAGAATTTCTTCCAATGTAATAAATCCTTTGGATTGGAAAAGTAAAGGGGGGTGGGGGAGGCATTGCCCGAAAAACTGCTAGGAAAATGCAGGTAATTCATTTGAGAAGTGAAAGATTTCTAGCAGTAGCAGGAATTCGGCTATTGTTGCTCACTCCATTAACATGCATTTTTAATTCTTTTAAGCATGATGTGCTGAGTTAGGTTAACACTAGCTAGGATAAATTCATCCTTGAGTTTAGCTCATTGTCACCTCAGGAAATTTGTCAGTGCTGGTTCCAAAGTGGTGAGTGCCCTGGGTAATGGTAGCAATGAAAGCTAGTTATCAGTTTCTGAGCAGAGAATCCCAGGTAGGGTTTCCTAAAGAGTATCAGGGAAAACAAACCTCAGGTGATGATATAGGGGAAACAGTGGGGGATTCTGAGGCAGAAGTCCTTGGTTTTGCCACTTAACTAGTTCGTATGATCTTGGGCTACAGTTTCCTTAGCTGAAAAATGAGCAAGTTGAACTATGTGGTTTTAAAGGTCCCTTCTAGGTCCAAATCAATGCTCACATAACACTTCCTCCCCCCCTCCCACCCCACATACACAGGATCTCAGTCCAACATCTCACTCCTGGAATGCCAAGAGAGTCTACCAAGTGAATCCAGTTTCTCTCATCCATCCTGTTTACCTATTGAGTCATCCTCATTACTCTGCTCATAACCTTTCATTGGCTCTCTATTGGTTCCCATGTCAAAGGAAAATTCCTCTGTGTTTCTTGGGCTTCCATAATCTGGTTCCACTTAGTTGGCATTATCTTTCCACAACTCCGCCCTGTATCCTTTCCTTTAACCTGACTGATTTCTTCAAAAGTGACCCTTGATTATTCTTCTCCTCCCTCTCACAGCCTTGAATTCCCTCCTTTTCTCCATCTAGCCAACTGTCCACCCACCCAGTGGATAGAATACTGGACCTGGAGTCAGGAAGACCTGAGTTCAAATCCTGCCTCAGACACTTACTGGCTATGTGACTCTGGGCAACTTACTTGACCTCTGATTCAGTTTTGTCAACTGCAAAATGGGAATAATAATAATAGCACCTGTCTCCAAGGATTAGTTGTGAGGATCAAATGAGATGGTATTTGTAAAGCACTTAGCACTGTGCCTGGCACATAGTAGGCATTTTATGAATGCTTATTCCCGTCCCTTCTCCCTGTTTCCCTCTTTTTCCTCTTTCCATTCTTCCGTACTTCTCCTATCCTAGCCTTCCTTCTTCCCTTCCTTCCTTTTTCTGTTCCATCTTCAAAACCTGTCTCAAAACCTACCTTCCCTTTGAAACCATCCTTTGCTGTTACAGCCCTCATTGAGATCCCCTCCATTATACTCAGAAGTTGATTTAGAGTTAGAAGAAGTGGGCCAAAATCTTGGTTCTGCCACTTATCGCCTGGTGTGGCTTTAGGCAAGTCATTTCATTTCTTTGGGTCTCAGTTTTCTTATTGGTAAAATGGACTAGGGGCAGCTGGGTGGTACCGCATTGTATAAAGTGCTGGACCTAGGGCCAGGACTACTCATTTCCCTGAGTTCAAATCCTGCCTCAGATACTTATTAGCTATGTGACCCTGGACAAGTCACTTAACTCTGCCTCAGTTTCCTCATCTGTCAAATGAACTGGAGAAGGAAATGACAAATTACCCTAGTAATTTGAAAAGAAAGAAAGGAAAACCCTAAATGGCGTCTTTAAGAGTTGGACATGACTGAAAAAACTGAACAACAACCACAAAAATGCACTAGATGGCCTCTAAAGGTCCCTTCCAGCTATAAATATATGATCCTATGACCCCTAAAGCATTTTGCTTGACACCATGCAGTTTGACTCTTAATTATAGACTATCTCATAGTATTCACTTTGGGGTAAGTCTTTTTTCCGCAACAAAATTTTCAGCTCTGTGAGGACAGGTATACCAAGTCTTTAGTATACAATAGCCAGTAGCAAGATGGATTGCTTGCTCTTTTCTGTATATAATACTTCATTTACAACCTCCCTCTCTTTGCACAGGCCATGCTCGCTATGGCTAGAAGGCTCTCCTTCCTCACCTCTGACTCATAAAATCTCTAACTTTCTTCAAACCACAGCTCAGGCAACATCTATTGGAAACCTTTTCTAACTTTTGCAATTAATTATCGGTAGACATATTGTTTCCCTGTGTAGAATATAAGCTCCTTGGGGGCAAGCTATTTTTTCCTTCTTGCTTTTGTATCCCTAGTACTTGGCACATAGTAGGTGCCCAAAATGCTTCTTGAATCGAATAATTATAACAACAGAAATCAGAGCAGGAGGGAAAGACCTTAAAGATTTTCCAGTCAAGCCTCTATGTTTTTTAGGTGAGGAAATTGCATAAGTGACTGAACTAGGAACAGAACCCAGATCTTCTGAATCCCAGGCCAGTGTTCTTTCCCCCACAGTACTCTGGATCCTAAATATTGAGCAATTAACATAAGAGATGGGTTTTGAGAGAAGATAAGTACGGCAGTATGGCACTTAGGGTAGCCAGGCAGTGGTATGACTACTGAATGCCTTTGGGGGGCAAGAAAGGGAAAGGTATGAGACTTCCTAACACTGAAAGAATAATAATGATAAGGATCAAAGTAAAGCTCCAAAGGGGGCAGCTAGGTGGCACAGTGGATAGAGCTCTGGGTCTGGAGTCAGAAATACTCATCTTTGCAAGTTAAAATCCAGCCTTAGACACTTACTAGCTATGTGACCCTGGGCAAGTAATTTAACCCTGTTTGCCCCAGTTTCCTCATCTGTCAACTGAGCTGGAGAAGGAAATGGTGAACCACTCCAGTATCTTTGCCAAGAAAATGCCAAGTAGGATTGTGAAGAGTCAGACATGAGGCTTCTCCAGGCCTCAGTTTCCTCATCTGTGAAATGAAGGGGTTAGATTAGATGACCTCTAATATCCCTTCCAGCTCTAGATTTATTATTCTAATATAGATAAATTGAACTTCATAGGTACCACTTGAGATTGGGTGGGATGTGACTTCATGGCTGGATGTGTAAGAATAGAAATATATTCTATATACTGAAAATGAAGAGATTAGGTAAGAGTGACACTAAAGTAGTAGCACTGAAGAATAGGTGTATTTAGTCCAATTAAATTTAACAAGCATTGATTAAGTGCCTAATTAAGTGTCCTAAACACTATGCTAGCTTCATTAAGTGAAACAGAGACCCATAAAGCATCATCCCTGCCCCCTAAGGAGCTTACTAACATAGCAGCCTTTTTTTTTTTTTTTTTTTTTTTGCTAACTCACATATAGCGATCCCATGCATAAAACCCCAGGAAAGAAATCCATTTGGGGTTTGTGAATCTGTGAGCAAAACCTCTCAAGTATTCTCAGGGACAAACACCAATGATGATGTCACCTTTTATTCTGCTATTGACTTGTTACCATATTAATTCTCTCACTGAATTCAAAAGCAATCTAGGAGGTATAATCTGAAATCATCTTATAAATTATTTAAAATGCAAAAACAGTATCATTAATTCTCTCAGATCTCTCACTCCTGTAATATCAAAGAAACCCCTTTTGTCCATCAGTTAAATCTCGTCTCAGTCTCAAAACCTGAACTTAGACAAATAGCGTATTCCTGGCCATATATACAGAAACATAGACAAACGTTTAAGTAACATTGGCTGTGAGAAAGGTCACTTACCAGCATCACCTCTATGGTCTAGAAAAATAAGGGAAAGACAAAGTTGTTTATTAGCATTCCTTTCACTCATGTCAACTGTCAGCTTCTCTAAAATAATGAAACTATAATCTGTTGAATCAGTTCCCCTAAAAAAAAAGCGAACTCTTTTCCTCTCAGAATAACATTTTACTCGGTTTTACCTCAGTAATGTCATTTCACTGCTTTTCTTCAGATAATAAGGTTTAATTCAGCAAGTTAAGTTTTCATCAGGATTGAAAGATAATTAAACTAACTCTGTTCCGTACAGAAATTCTCCTTAGAATGTCTTCTCCACAGAATGATTGTTAAAGTCTCTCAAACAAGACATTTAACTATCTAAGTCTCCCCCAAACTCTTGTCCAAAGGCAGTTAGTTTTTAGTTTTCTCAGAAATAGTGGTTTTTTTTGGTCTCTCAATGCCTGAGACTTGCTAAAAGATGAAAGTTAACTATCAGGCCCAATTGTCTATATTTTTAAAGATTTAATTTTTATTTTTTCAGCTAATAAGCATTGTTTACTCTTCCTCCCATCCACCCCCATTGAGAAAAAAAAGAGAGAGACGAAAGCCCCTTATAACAATCTGCATAGTCAAACAAATCAAATTCCCACATTGACTATGTCCCAAAATATATGTCTCATTCTTCATCTTGAGTCCATCAGCTGTCTTTCGGGTGGTAGGTAGCAATTCATCATTGATGGTCTGCTCAAATTATGGTTGGTTATTGCATTGATCTGGGCAGCTAGGTGGCACAGTAGATGGAGTGGGCCTGGAGTCAAGAAGACTCATCTTCATGAGTTCAAATTCAGCCTCAGATGCTTCCCAGCTCTGTGACCCTGGGCTAGTCACTTAACCCTGTTTGCCTCAGTTCCTCATCTGTAAAATGAACTGGAAAAAGAAATGACAAACCACTCCAATACCTCTGCCAATAAAATACTAAATGGGAACA